CTTAAAAACTACAAAAAAAATAAAACGGATGCATTAAAGATTATTTGTCAGAGGAGATATTTAATCTGTATTTAATTTAGGGATTCACCAATATTAAAGTTTGGCTGATACCGATAAGCTGATAATTAATTTAATGTTGTGACTAATAATTGATAAATAGTAGATATTAGGATTTTTACTGTTTGTGCCTAAATAATTAAAACACTTCACTAAAATCAATCAATATGAGTGCGGCAAGTGCATTTAGGCAGTATTATAATCTACAGTATGAAAAATAATATTCAGTTGGAAGTTTGCTAAAGATTACATTTAACAGTTTTAAGTTATTAATAGTAAAAGTAAAATGAGCATGTATAATTAAATAGTCCAATATTTATAATCCAATATTGACAAGTCTGAAATAATTTTTTCTACTATAGATGCGAGTGAAGGATCCAGTGAAAGGGATGTCTGCCGCAGACGAATGAGACGCTGCAGCTGATTCTGTGAGTACAGCTGAACTGATGTTTCCCTTACATGGTACATGGGGACACTATACTCTATATATTTTACTGACCAAACTATATATATATATATATATAATTTATTTGAATTATTATGATGTTATTATGTGGTTATATAATAATTTTTTTAATTTTAATTTTTGTATTTTTAGATGTTGCAGCTGTTCGGCTGTGTCCTAGCATTGGAAAGAGTCTCTTCAGTATGATGGGCTGCTCTCTCTCTTCATGTTTCATTCCAGTAGATTTTCTCTTTTTTTCACTCCTGCACCATCCCATCCAGAGGTGTTTCTTACACTAATAAATAGCAACATATTGTTTCAGTCCATGTTTCTGCCCTATGTCTATTAAAATTTGAAAGTGTCTCATAAATATGTTTACCCATCCTTTTTTTTTTTTTTTTTACATATTTGACGGACATCAGCACTTGTTTAAATAACCCGTCACTAACCCCTATCACCAGCATGTTAACACATTTACATTTCTTTAACAGACGTTCCCACCCTTGATGTATTTGCTGAGTTTATGGTATTAGCAGTTTGCAGCTGACCCATTGTTACTTATAAGCCTCTTTTCTCAGGACTTTTTGTAGATCTGAAAGGACTGAATTCTAATAATGTGGTAATACCAGGTTTACAGTAATGACGTAACAAACTTAATTTAGTTCAATTGAATTTCCACACAGGGTCTAGGGCATTAAATATCATGTCATGTTGGGTTGGTGATGTATTAGCACATGTTTTGAGCCTCTGTCATATGAGGCTTAATTATGAACTGTATTCAGATGTTTAAATGGTATTCTGCTGTTCTGTTCCACTCTTTGTGTTAATTGGGCTCGGATACAGTGTAATACTTGTTTCATAATTATGCCTCATGACCTGATAATGATATTAAAAATTATTTATATTATTAATGTCTGTAGTATGTATTTATTCATTGGTCTTTGCGCTGTGCAGAGATACTGCGAACTCATTTAGCACATATAACGTTTTTGTGGTATTTTTTTTTTTCCTTCTCTTTTTTTTTTCACATGGATAAGTTTAGGGTTAGGGTTAGGGTTAGCCCTAACAGATTTTGGAGTTTACTTGGGGTTATTGTGTATTTATGTCCAGCATCTAGCATTCATTTGATAACTATTATGCATTGATTGACAGCATAGTTGGATAAGGAACGGTGAACTTTAGGATAATGAAAAACCTTTGCGAAAGTAGTTGGCAGAGTTGCCCGATCAAACCAGCCCAATGACAAAAAACTAACAAAAATACCAAAACTCTAAATTTTCCTCTCCTATCCCTAATATATATATTTTAGTCACTATGTATTACACAAAATATAAACTTAAAAATCACTGTAGTAATCATAAACACAGTCTGATTCGTCTTTAAAGCCCTATTCGCACGGGATTAGTATTATCTGGGGACCTTGTGTGATTTTGGAATTAACCCCCCACCTCTGAATTTCGTGTGGTGCATTCGCACGGGATAAGCGAAGCCTGTGATTTTACTCGAATTTACCGATTTATCTACCGGATACCCGGATGTCAAGGCTTTGAGAGTCCCGTTCTATGGTCCAGATGGATTAAAAAAAAAGAAAAGAAATTAATATAGTTTCGTGCCCTGTGACATTTACATTTCACCAGGTTAAAATAGTATATCAAGCTTTATGCTTGATTTATTTGTAACACATTAACCTCAAAACCTTTTCAGCCTTTTCTTTCTACAAATTGTATGGTGTAGCGATATAACAGCACCCAAAATACTATCAAACACTCCAACGCAGCTCCATTCTTCGCGAAAGGTGGATAAAAAAGCGCACAGGAAACAAAAACCTCGAAAAATGATATACGACCCGCCAAATGCAGGCCAAATCACAGAGATGCCGATTCGCACGGGACTAATATTAGCACAGGACCTCGGTGTTCGGCGAAATATGGTAGGTCTTTTGCGGGGGAATTTTTACTTTACAAATTACAGACATGGCCGATTCGCACGGGATTAAGATCACAGACAACCTCCGCAATTATTACAAATGACTGGAGGTCACCAGGTTATACTAATCCCGTGCGAATAGGGTTTAAGACTGATTGGTGGTTAAAAAAAACTATTTGAAAATGAACTAGGCTTCCTAGCAGTAGTCTAGCACTGTTTTATAACTGGTGGAATGTGAAGTGGGTAAAGTACAATATTTAAACAAGCATTTCAGTCAAATATAATTTATGTGCCGTCAAACGTTTAACCGAAAAAACAGCGCACGGCAACACTTCAAAAGTTATTTTTCAGTTGGTCCACACTGACCTCTTCTTTTCGCGTAACTCCTGTCTTTTGAATCTTGTTCTCTTTTGGTTTTTCTGCACAAACGTACACTCGAAACATGGAATATACCGCTAAAATTGCATCCGCATTTTTGTTACTTTGCATAAGTATCTGCTAAATGAATAATTGCAATATTATAATGCAATTATTTTGTTAGCATTTTTGATAAGTAAACACACTGTAAAATACCATACCCACGATTAAAATGCCAAAGAACTCACAGAAAACAATGAACTTTTTCTTTTATTTATTACAAATGTACAGTTTATGAATCTTTATTACGATTTAAATGGTTTTGCTTAGTCTTTTATTTAATTTCTATATTTTACAGGTAGCCTCTGCTAAACAAATTTCTCCCATCAGTTAATCTCTCAAGTAAGAACCACGTGATAAAGAACAGTCATAAGTATAGTGCAGCCAGTATGACTGATCACGGAAGTGTGTGTGCATTAATCTATTTAAAAATAATTTCACCGGTGCATCATGTGAGCAAAGTATGCATCTGCAGCAGGATGGCTGGGAAAATCTACAAACTACTCTGAAAGGAATCAGATTAAGTGTTGGAAATATAGTGTGTGTGCAATGACTTCCTTTCAGATATCTCTCTGAATTTAGTGCTTATTAAATAATGGCCCAAGCTCTTTCTCCCAAGTCATTACCACAGTAAACCATCCTGCCATATTTAGTGGAAAATGAACAATCTGGAGGGAAAGCATACACTGTTTTACTCACCATGTGCTTCTAGTGTGGAAGAGCAAGACACCAGTCACATGATTAAATTACTGATTAAAGACAGTCTAGCAGATGTGCAAAGGCAATGATCAGAGATTTTCAGACAATCTTTTTGACACGTTACCAGGGGACGCTAACATTATCCCATTCCCCAAGTTAAAGAAACAAAAGGCAAGAATGAAAAAAATGGCTTAACTTAAAATGCTGGTGGGTAAAACTGATATGGAAAACAACAGGAAGTTTAAGGCTCGTATCATGACGTTTAAAATGCAAAGTAACTGTACAACAAATACTTGGTTTGATCGCGCTCGCACACACAGATGTTCATCTACATGTGCGTACGTACTGGAAGCTCCAGTTCAACTCCTCTCCCATGAACATCAACATAGAGAAGGAGTCATTTCCCACAATTTTCAAAAGTGAGCCCGATCGCCTCGACTGGTGCCACAGAATGTGACTTCACTGGTCCTGATGAGGCAGATGGACATCCTCACCGACATGACGTGTTTTCCCTGTGACCGTATGTGAAATGTTAGTGATGAGAACATTGATAGTGGTCATCTTCAACCATCAACATTCACATGCTTGTAGCTTATAGAACATAATAAGGGTCTTCTTACATTAATAACCATTAACTACACATGCTTGATAAAAAAAAAAACATGAATTATAAAGAAGAAAGAAATCAAATATTCTCAAAATGAAAACAAACTACCATCACACACAAAAAGCCTGGTCCTGAAGTAAAAACTCCACTAAACTGACAAAAAAGGCCATTCGATTATGTGCAGAAAATGAACAGGTAGTGCTAAAGTGATGGTTTTTTCCTAACCTAATAAGCTAAAGATAATGTGATGATTGTGCTAACACATTTGCATTGTTCTGATACCAAAACCCACTAACGTAGGGATTGAGATGAGATGAACCAGGGTGAGACCTGGCAAGACTTTTCTGTACATCAACTCCGACCGCCGTCTTTGTGCTCGAAGACGAAAAAAGAGGGATCCGCAACTGTAGTGTCATCACTCCCCTCTGCTCCTTTGGCTAGTGTTTGACGTACTTCATAAATAATTGTAAATATGCTGTTGTTGTTTTTTACATTAATTTGGAGATTTAATATGAAAACGTAATCAGGAATTGTAAAACATGTAATGAAATGCAACTGACATTTATACTGTGTGTGTGCGTGTGTGTGTGTGTGTGTGTGTGTGTCAAAAGTAATTATTTATTAAAAAAATTAATTTAAAAAGTTAATAAATAATTGTAAATATGCTGTTGTTGTTTTCTACATTAATTTGGAGATTTAATATGAAAACATGTAATCAGGAATTGTAAAACATGTAATGAAATGCAACTGACATTTATACTGTGTGTGTGCGTGTGTGTGTGTGTGTGTGTGTGTGTCAAAAGTAATTATTTATTAAAAAAATTAATTTAAAAAGTTCTTCAAAAAAAAAAAAAAAAAAAAATGTAGTATAGAGTAAAACACTGTGTGAGTGAACCAGTGCTTCTACCACTGGAGGACGGGAGTGTTCTGATTAGTTTTCACAGGTTATTGTTCACCCCTGTTAATGTTCGCAAAGCTATGTGTGATTTCCACCGAAACTAAATGAAACAAAAATCAACAGAAGACATCATTAAATTGTAACAATAATACGAAACATAAGTCATAATCTTTAAAATAACTCCAGTGTTGTTGTTTAAATTCAGTACATTTGTCCCAAGAGAAACAGGCCAATGGAGCGGCATTTAAAAACACAAAATCAATTGAAAGACACAGAGGAAAATAAACGATTTAGGAGGAACGTTTCTGGTTCTCTTGACAATTAGGAGTGCTTATGTGTTTCACAAAGAAAACCAAAAATAGCCGCCCATGCGCTAACAGACCATCAGCACTGAATTGTGGGTCTGCCTGTGTAGTGTTTAGATGTTTAGATGAAAGAAGATCCTCCTGACATACTGAAATAAGAGAAGAAAAGGAGTGTAAGGAAAAGCAGTCCGCTCCATTCGGCTTCTCCCAAACATTCCACATCTCTGCGTCCGGGTGGCCGCAGCTGGATTCGACACCCTTTCTTTTCCCATCTTCATTCCCTCACATCTTTTTTCCCATCTACCTGACCAACGATTCCCAGCCGTCAGTTTTACTTAGTGTCTTACTCTTTTCTCCCGTTTCTCAGTCTTGAGGACCCCAGTGTGCTGGAGGGTCAATGTTTTTTCTCGCGGGTGGTGATGGTGACCAGCTGCTTGGCAGCTTTGGCGATGTCGTAGGCGCACTGGATGACCTGCTGGGTGAGGAGCTGGTAGTCCACCGTACTGGCCGACAAGTCGGAGGGCGCCGCTTTACGACACTCCACCTGCAGGCGGGACGCACTGGCGGCCAGGAGCTTCAAGGAAGAACGCACTGCATCTAGCGCTGGTCTCTGAGAGCAGCAGACAGAACAGATAAGATTTAATGCAGTTTGGATATCTTGAGGCAAAGTATCAAAATAAGATGAATTTATTTACCTTGGGAAACAGCGAGGCCATTTCTGTCACAGCTAAGTGGATTTTCTCTGAGCATGGCACAAAACTGCAACCAAAGACAGATTTCTTTCAAAATTTTCTCCAGTAGATCTTTGTAAACTTTCCATAATAGTTTGTTTCTATTAACTGTAACAAAATGACTTTGCATTCAGCTTGAGGGGTAACAGTCCGTCATACCTGTCATGTTTAAACTCCTGTGCAGCTCTGAGGAGCTCCTGGATGTTCTTGGTGACCTGCTCGGTTTTGAGGATGACGTCCTCTGTGCAGGGCAGCGTGGGGTCCGGCTCACCCTCTGTGTCTTCCACATCCCCCCTGCTGTCCTCCTCACTGCTGCGTCCCACACTACCACATAAAACAAACAAACAATCACGAACACACAATAAAAACACTCAAATTTACATGCTAAAGGAAATAAATTTATTGTCAGTTGGTTTTTAAGGTCTTAGTTGTTATTACAAATAATTAAAATATATATTTTTAAAATATATTTTACAGTAAAATAAAAAATTGATGATAATAATAATATTTATTATAATAACTAACAGTTCATAATTAGTTAATAATAACATTATACTGCATATTATATAGTAGAATGATATTTTTAGAAGACAAATATATTACTATTGTAATATAAATATTGGAATATCCTGTACTGTATGTTGAATATTTTTATTAAAAATACCAAAAGTACTTTTATTAAAAGTACAACAAAAAAACACTACAATGAAAGAATTATAAATAATTATAAAAAATAAATATATATTTTTTGTAACTGTGAATTAATAAAAAAGTCAATAATAATAAAAAATATACTTGCACTTATTATTCTAATATCCAATTATTTTATAATTAGTTATAACTAATATATATAGTGCAATAACATTATATGGCATATTATATAGTATCTTATTTTTCAGAAGACAAATATATTACTTCTGTGCAGAAAAAAAAATCTAACATTGAAATAAAAATATTATTAATATATAAATTCATATAATAATATGTAAATTAATGTTTAAATTAATTTTAAAAATAGTAATTAATAAAAAATAATGATATTAATATATTCACATATTAAAAATACAACAATACTACAATAGCAATACATTTGTGTTTTAATTTCTTAAGACAGTGCACAAGTTTATTTTTATTACTCTGTTTTTATTACTCTTCTCATTGCAAATGAAATGCTGTAAACCTCCCTCCACAAATTTCAAATGAAACAAGGCAAATGTAAAAAGATGCTGAATCTGGTGTGCTTTGTTTTTAACGGTAGCACTCACCCAAGGGAGACGTCATATGTTTGAGAGTTGTCATAGTCACTATCAGTTCCGCTCCCATATTTCTCTCCTGCTTTTGGAGGCTGGACAAGACAAACATGAGCAGAGGTCTGATACAAATCACAGTCTGTAACTCGCATGTCAGTGTCGATATGAATGGAAAGAGGCTCTCACATTATATCGCCCATCAGTGGAGGCTGACAGGTGTGCTCCTCCGTAGGGGGTGGGACCTGCAGGAGCGCCCTTTCGCACCTGAACATGAGCAGAATGAGATTAACAGGAGGAGAAAAGCTGACAGACAGTCAGCAGGCAGAGGATGGAAAGGAAAGAAGCAGCTTTTGATAGTCATTTCTGCACAGGACTGTTAGATGTAAGGCAACCTGCAGCAAAACTGTTATACTAAAGACTGTAATTCTGTTAGACACAAGAACCTTAGTGTAGAGGTTTTCAATATTGCAGAACAGCAAGATTCTACATTAAGCTCAAAAGCAAAACTGAATTAACAGTGTAATAACATATCCTCTTCTCTGAACTAATGAAAACACTAAAAATAGACACTCACACATTAAAAAGTGCAGTTAATAAAACAGGCGCAAAGGTGAATCCCAAATACATTAACCACGACTAATAAAGCAAAATAAGTCTACACCACACTGCCAGCAATGACCCAAAAATGGTATATTGCATAATCACAACATGGCATATTTGCATAATTGCAAAAGCAATTAAAGCAAATCAAAACAAGGCATTCAAAAGACATTCAAATACATCCTACACATCTATGAATATCCACAAACAGAGGATGATTTCTTATTTCAGAGCTGTCAGGAGCAGCACAACAATTCACTGCACACTACAAGAAATCAGTTCATTAAGCATTTGATGTGTGTCATGCAGATCGACTTCTTTGAGGTTCACTAATCAGGTAACCAATCAATCAGTTTTCTACACATTCCAGATATGTCATATTGCACAAGACAAGCATATCTCTCCACGAGAGCCTCTCTTGGCATTTCAACTATTTCAAGAAGAATACAATTCATGCCACTTCTATCTTCCTATGCTAGATAGACAATATACAAGGCTTGTGTCTCAAAATGTATTGAGCTGCTTAGCTAAGCAACATTTTTGAGCATTATAGGCAAACCTGGTATTAACATGCATTCTGGGTGAGCCAGAGACAGACTGTGATCAGGTTTTGTTAGAGGGTCTATGATTTTGTGATAATATGAACCACATTAAATAAACGAATGTTGATAAAGCTAAAGAATTAGCTTTTTAAAGAATTTTAAAAAAGTACAATGAAAACCTACCACAAAATAACATTTCTGCATGTTGATTAAGGTAATAAAAAGTAAATAATTCTGCATGTCAATAAATGTAATTTAAGAAAAAAAGGGAAAATAAAACAAGAATGCAAACAATTTTGGGAGTAGTTTATGATAACGTTAAAGAAAAAAAAAAAAAAGTAAAAAAGAGGCAGAAATAAAAGTACAAATGCAAATAAATTTTGGAGCAGTTTGTGAATTTATGTAGGTGTACTTAAGATATTTACAATTAGCACAGTCCACTTATGATCAAGTCATGCAAAAAAGCTGTTGATACCAGGGGCCGGTTGCACCAGCTGTACGCAAGTTACAATGTAGCCTAATTTTGACGTAAATTGGAACTAAGTTACAACTTACGCACTTTTAAAAAAAATTTCGTTGCACCATTACACTTAGTTAGAGAGAACAATATGTAAATAAATGTACTTTGTTTCTTTTTTTAGCGCTTCTTCAACACCCCATCTACAGCGTGCCTATGTGTGCTTTGGTCTGTATAGCGCATGTGAAATGAAATCAGTAATAATAAATAAATGCCATTTCTCATGTTTTTTTCTTTCTTTCAGTATTTATTGATCCTTATATTTCAATTACGGTTTCTGAATGTAGCTTCCCTATATGCCATAATGTTTTTCATGATTAAGTATCATTTTTAATGGAAACGTATTTTTACCGTTAGTTACGTGAGGCAAAAGAAGTTAGAATGAAGGATAAATTGAAATTCACAGCATTTAAACAAGTTCTGCTTGCGTATTTGAAGTCTTCTATTGGATCATTTAGGGTAAACGTCATATTATCCGGTTACGCATTACTTTACGGAGAGTTTACGAACTACTAGCTAGCTGCCTTACAAACAACTGGTGCAACCAAATAATGTATAGATTTAGTTACAAACTAGCTAGTAGTTACTAAGCTTCTAGTGTGGACTTAATGTTCTAATTTAAGTAAGAACTTACGAATGGCTGGTGCAACCCTACCCAGGTGTATAAGAGACCCATGACGCTAAAAAATGCTGTTGATTTAGGCAGCACACTGAGTTTGGAGAGACAGCCAATATCTAGAAAAAGAAAGGTGTTATCAGGGCAGGAAGTGCTCCTGTTTGGCCATAAGGTGGCGGTAAAGAGCAGTGAGTAAGCAGCAGCACACCAGTGTGGGCTCAGGTAAGCAGAGGGAGAAAGAGAGCCCGACAGGAAAAGGAAGTTTAAAAAGATCAGGCCGGCCACTAATGCTCACACTTACGGGGCTGAGAGGCTGCAGGCGGCCCGTCAGGGGGTCCAGGGCTGGGGTGTAAGCTTTGGGGGTGGTCCCCACGGGCTCATACATAGAGAAAGCTTGTCTATCCCGGCGGAGGGGGGCAGACGAGGGTGCATTTAGGCTGGAGTCTCCACCTACCCCTCCACCACCGCCCGTACCCCTTACCCTACCATGCCACAGCCCTGGGCCACCACCCCCGGTCAGAGCGCCCCCGGCCCCAGCCTGGGCCCCCCGCAGCGCGCTGTTCTCCGTCTGCATCCGCGTGATCTACAGGGATGGAGGGGCATCACCAGGAGTCACACAAACACATACACAAACACAAGTACCAAAGAAAACACAACAGTTGCAGTGTGGACTGTTACGTCATGCTGGGGCTGATAAAATGGGGTTGTTCTGATGGACAGGAAGTTTAAGGTTGTCTGAACAAGGAGGGGCTTCATTCTCAGTGGGAAGTACATGGTATAAGATATCTACATTTCTATTTAAAAGTTTGGGGTAGGGCTGTCGCGATAACCACAATATCGCAATACTGCACTATTGACGATTTCCGCGTTTTCTTTTTTTGTTTTACACTTCGTGCAAGTGTACTGAATTTTAAATAAGTTAGTAATGATAACAATGTGTACCATGCTGATTTGTACAGAGGCTCGGTAGATTTGCACTTAACAAGCCTAAACAGACAGTGAATGAGAGAGAGATCGACTGAGCGTGTGCGATTACCTACATCTGTCCTTCAGGCCGAGTCATATATATTTGTGAATATAGGTTGTCATGTCCAAGGAAAGCGAAACCTCTGTCTTAGCATCGACGCATTGCTGGTAAGCTGAGCCTTCTAAAGTGGCGCCCAAAGCTAAAATGCTTTCAACAGTGTGTTTCATTACATGTCTCTTTTTACAGTCAGATTCGAGGATCAGAACTAACTGTTATGCATATGTGATTTATACATCTGAAAGCTGGATAAACAAGCTTTCCATTGATGTAAAGTTTGTTAGGATAGGACTAAATAAGTTAGTAATGATAACAATGTGTACCATGCTGATTTGTACAGAGGCTCGGTAGATTTGCACTTAACAAGCCTAAACAGACAGTGAATGAGAGAGAGATCGACTGAGCGTGTGCGATTACCTACATCTGTCCTTCAGGCCGAGTCATATATATTTGTGAATATAGGTTGTCATGTCCAAGGAAAGCGAAACCTCTGTCTTAGCATCGACGCATTGCTGGTAAGCTGAGCCTTCTAAAGTGGCGCCCAAAGCTAAAATGCTTTCAACAGTGTGTTTCATTACATGTCTCTTTTTACAGTCAGATTCGAGGATCAGAACTAACTGTTATGCATATGTGATACATTTTTATACATATTTATACATCTGAAAGCTGGATAAATAAGCTTTCCATTGATGTAAAGTTTGTTAGGATAGGACAATATTTGGCCGAGATACAACTATTTGAAAATCTGGAATCTGAGGGTGCAAAAAAATCTAAATATTGAGAAAATCGCCTTTAAAGTTGTCCAAATTAAGTTCTTAGCAATGCATATTACTAATCAAAAATTAAGTTAATACATTTACAGTAGGAAATTTACAAAATATCTTCATGGAACATGATCTTTACTTAATATCCTAATGATTTTTGGCATAAAAGAAAAATGAATAATTTTGACCCATACAATGTATTTTTGGCTATTGCTACAAATATACCCCAGCGACTTAAGACTGGTTTTGTGCTCCAGGGTCACATATAGGCTAACAATACATAACACACACACACAGATTATATATATGACGAAAATACTGCAGATCGCGCAACTGAGCCACTCAAAATTACCACAAGGGAAATTCCTTCACCGCGACAGCCCTCGTTTGGGGCTTTTTTAAAGTAATTATTACTTTTATTTATTTCTATTTCAAATAAAACCTGATCTTTTGAACGTTATTTTCATCAGAGAAACCTGAAAAAATGTATCCACATAAATATTAAGCAGCACAACTGTTTTCAACATTGATGGGGTTTAAATGTTTCTTGAGCAGCAAATAAGCATATTAAAATGATTTCTGAGGGATCATTTGACACTGAAGACTGGAGTAATGCCTGCTGAAAATTTCCCTTTGTCATTATAGAAATAAATTACATTTTATTCAAATAAAAAAACAGTTATTTCACATTGTAATAATATTTGACAATATTACTGTTTTTACTGTATGATCAAATAAATTCAGCCTTGGTGAGCATAAGAGATCTCTTTTTAAAAAACATTTTAAAAATCTTACCGACCCCAAACTTTTGAACAGCAATGTTTATTAATACTGTTCTGCTCTGTTTGATGGTTTGGTATCAGTCTGTGTAATGGTGAGCTGTAGTTTATGGCAGCATTTAATTTCTATCTGTGTGAAAAAAAAAAGGTACATTGTTTTAATACAGTGGATGGGCGTACCTCCTTCTGAAGCCTCCGCAGCTCCTCACTCAGGTTGTTGTTGACCTTCATGAGCTGCTGAACTTTGGCCTCTGAGGAGGCCAATGCTTTCTTCACCTCCAGATATTCCTGTAGTGTGATGGGCCCATCTGACAGGTCCGACGAGTCCATGCTCTGATTGACAACACATATCACCAATCAAATCACAATATACTCTTAATTAACAATAAACAGCAGTAAAGGGAACAGATTTGAAGAAAGAGATTTCTGTCCCAAAAGATATACACAATTATGTATGCCATTAATTTATTGTAGTATTTACACTACCATTCAAAAGTCTGGAGTCAGCAAGATTTTTTTTTCTTTTTTGAAAGAAATCAATATTTTAATTCAGCAAGTATGAATTAAATAGATCAAAATGACAGTAAAAACTTTTACATGCAACAACAACAACAAAAATCAGCTTTGCCATTACAATAAATTACATATTAAAATATATTAAAATAGACAACTTATTTTAAACTGTAATAATATTTAACATTATGACTGTATTTTTAGAGACTTTTTTATATTTTTAAAGCTTTTGAACAGTAGTGTGAAAGTAAGTCAAAAGATCCCACCACAAGTCTATAATATATGCAAAAACAGTATTCAATCAGTTCAATCTCTTAGAAAACTAATAGCACGTTACACGATTTTAGGTATTACTGATGTCCATATGTATATATAAACCTAACATTGATATGGAGATTTTAATGAACATTATTATAAAGCATACTGAATAGGTAATGTAAAATTAAATTTTCATTAGAGATGCACTGATTGCAATTTTCTTGGCCGATTCCAATTTTTTTGTTAGTGTGACCTGCCGATGCCGATTTTTGCCGATACCATTTTTTTTTTTAAGAACAAAAATCTACTTTTTTTCAATGCAAAAAAAAAAATATTTACATAAAATAAATTAAGCATTACAATTCCCCCTATCTGGACTAAGTTACAGATGTTCTCTCACTTAAACAACTCTCAAAATAAAGTGCTCTGTGACTGGAAAGAGGTAGAAATAACAATTAATTGAAAATGAGCTGCTCTATATGACGAAACAGACATATCATTTCCCACTGTTATAAATGGTCATTTTTCCCTAACCTTATTAAATGTGTCCTCTTTCACATCAAATTCTTACATTGTTTCAACTAATTCAGTTAGAATAACAAGAAATTGTAGAATTGTTACCATTCAAATGAAATCAGTATCAACAAACTTCATCTTTCCACTGCAGGAAACACAGAAGCTGCATCTGAAGTGGCATTAGATGTATTTAAACAGACTGTTTGATGAAGCTGAGGTGCGCTATAATTGAATTGACACCACAAAATTGCAAATACATTAATTATTTTATAAGATCGTTTTAAATAATTTTTTGCACATACAAATAATAAAGGTTGGGGAAAATGCAATGATACTTTTAAATATGAAACCAAACCACCAGTAGGTGGCGGCAAATTACTGTTTTAATGAGTGAGTCATTTAGCCATTCATTTAACCGAATCCTTCAATCAGTTGACTCATTTAGAAATGAGGCAAGTGACTGTCTTTATGAATGGGTTACTGAATCATTGACTCACTCGATTCGTTCAAAAACATGGATTCATTCAGAATCGGAGACTCACAACAGTTCTGCTGTTCGGCTAATTCCGGTCCCTGGCCGGTCGATCGGTGCATCTCTAATTTTCACACAAAAAATTAATAACTGTACAATATGACAAACAGCAGTGCTACTGGAGAAGGTTTTAAACCCCACATTCCTCAACCAGACGGCGAGGAATATGGGGTTTACTTTGTGCTCTCCTACACTCAGCCATGTCACTTCCTGAATGTGGAGCGAGCATGCTCAGACACAGCATCCTGTCTTTAGCTGCAGAACAATAGTTTCACTGATCACAGCCTTGAAAAGGGGATGATGTCATTCTGCAAATATGAGGGAGGGCTGCTGTTGCTGATCTTCCAGTGGTGCATGCTGGGACATGACAACACTGGCTTCTGTACTATTGAATATACTAATTTGCTGGTCTGGCAAAACCAGTATCAACATCTACCAATGCCTAACCTACAATACAAGAAATTAAACATTTCTTAAGATTCAGTGAAATATCTGAACTTGTTTCTCCAAAGGTTTTAAGATGTTCCTCAACTCAATCAAGCGGTTTCATTATTAAGAATGATGGAAGTCTGGAAGGATGAACACAAATCTTCAACCTCAGACAACTCATAATTAGGATTAGGTGGAGTACATTTTCCTCAGGTAAACACCTAGTGAGGGAGTAAGGGTTTAGATGAGCTGACCTTGGCTCGGTTGTTGCGCTGAGTGTTGTTGTTATTCTGTGCGGTTAGCTCGCTGTCTGTGTCTTCATCAGACGCTACGCTGTCATAATCGTGTTGGTCATCATCCGCCTGACTCAGATCCAGCGGGTCTGAAAAACAATAACCACAAAAATGAAAGATAACATCATTAATATGGGGAGGCAATGAGAGTCTCAAAAACTGCACTGGCTTAGCTATATCCGTCTTTACTGAAGCTGTATTGTTGATATTCCACTAAAACCTGTAAGTTTGACAAATGCAATGTGGCCGTCTCACCTGTGGGGCTTGTCAGGCCTTTTCCATGCTGCCGTCGCTTGGCATCACTGAGAATGTCGATAATGAGGGTGGCGAATTCTCGTGCGTTAAAGCGAGCCAATTTCTGCCGCCCCTACCAATGACAAAAAAATATATACACAAATGAATACACATATATGCATATATTATTTATAGAAAAGGATGCATTAAATTGATCAAAAGTGACAGTAAAAAGTTGTTACAGAAAAGCTTTTAGAAAAAAAAAGTATCACAGTTTCTACAAAAATTGTAAATAATTTTTAAACATTAATAATAAGTAGTAGTGCTTCTTGAACACCAAATCAGCATGATAGAATGATTTCTGAAGGATCATGTGACACTAAAAACTGGATATATTAGTGCTGTCAAAATTAGCGTGTTAACGCAGGCGATTCATTTTTTCATTTTAACGTGTTAAAAATATTTAACGCAATTATCACAGGGACCAGCAACTGAAGGTGAGAACTATCCCTTTAATGGTTAATTATTAAAAAACCTATTTCATAGAGACATTTGTATTGGTATCAGTGATACTCGCCTTCAGTCATAAAAAAAGATGCCATTAAACAAATATTAAAAATATATGGTCTTTTTGTTGTTTCTATATTATCTGAAGATTGAATGTGAAATTATTGCAATATAAAGGTATATTTAAAAACTTAAATGTTAGGTGGGATTAATCGCGAATCATGATTAATTTCAGAAAAAATGAGATTTAGTTCATTTTTTTATCGATTGACCACTAAATATATATATTCTACAAAATATTAAAATATTAAAAGCAATAAATTAAAATATTAAAAATAATATATTAAAATACATTGTTTTTATTATATAATAAAATAGAAAATAGCTATTTTAAATTGCAATATTCTACAATATTACTGTTTTTACTGTATTTTTAATCAAATAAATTCAGCATTTATGGGCATAGGACACTTAAGATTAAAAAAATAAGAGACTTTACATTAAATAACATTACTAATCCCAAATTTTTTGAACAATAGCGTAAATCATTAATGTGTTTTTAGAAATAAATAATGCAATTATAAACAGACCCTAACTAAATCTATGGAATGTTTTCACATTTTTACAAATTTTTTGGGGGGGGGGACAAATCTGTGA